AGGGATACTTACTGCAATGTGACAACAAAATAAAAGAAAAAGCTATCCAAACAGTAACCAGTATCTAGACTGAATCCCATATGCAATTCAACAAAGAACAGATTTCTCAACATGCAACTAAGCCAAAACCAAGGATGACAACTCTACTGGAATGCACACAAACCCCATCACTTCACAGTATTTAGTACATTGTGTTGTCAACCACGTTTGTGCCACGTGCTCCTGTAGAAGAATAAAAGCAATTTTCCTACCCTGCGTGCACACTCATGGTTTTGTTCTTTAGGATCACAGCTTAAAGTTAATTTTTTTCAAGAAGAGTTTCTCAAACACAGCTACCATACAAATAACATTCCTTATATGAATTATATATGGCTTAATGTAGAGGTTTTGAAGGTACAGCCCAGCACAGGCTGCAACACAGCAAGGTGATACTGGTAACCCAGCCTCCTCAGACAACTTCATTCATTTCAAGATAGGATTGTCCTCTGTTTGGAATCTTGTTTATCAAGTCGTAAGTATTAAAGAACGTAAACAGTTATTCCAGTTTTCCAAATCAAAACCTGCTTGTTAGGAGAGAGGTAATACTTGAACCTGAGTTAGTTTCAGCAGGCCAGATTGGAAACTGACTCACTTGACCTGGCCACAGCCATAGTTAAAAGCAACAGACAATTAAACCTTAAAGAAAATAATTTCCATTTTATTACTAAAGGAAAGATGAACATCACTCATTCTTAAATATGTATTATTAATTTCTTACTTGTGTGGTAGGCAGTGGCATCCAAACCCACATTCATGATTGAGGCTACGTTTTTCTCCGTGTGCATATATAAATTTTATTTGAGGATATACCAAACTACAGATTTAACTTATAATAAAAGAGTATAAAATAACAGAAGGACAAGAAGAGGTCACAAGAGTTATGAATGTATTATTTTTTAGGAAGTTTTTAATTTTAAATATGTAATTTTAAAGAGAATAAAAACATATAAAGTTATATAATCTCCTGTTTTCAGTGCTTTAAACACTTAAAAGCCATTGAAACCAAAAAGAAAGACTTCATCTGATGTCAAATGTAGTTAAACCAAGCTCAAAGGTCAAAAAGGAAGCTAAGTTTCTTAATTTTATTATTTTTTTTAGAAGCCCTAAGCCATATAGCTCCCGATTATTAAGTTCTCTGAAATTCTTAGAACAGAGAAAGTTTGAAGATAGTAACTGTCACTGAAAACACTCACCTTTACATTGTGCATACTCATGATGTTACCACAGTCATCCATGTACTGCTTCAGATCCTTGTCCTGTCAAAACACCATCATCATTGTTCAGTAAGATTGTGGACAACAGATTATTATGAACATTATTTATTGTTAGAACTGAAATAATTAATTAGAAAACTGAGTTTTCTGCAAAAGATGCTCAATGATAAAACACCTAAAAGCCTGAACATGCAGCAAACTCTGTCTTTCCAGAGGATACAAATACCCATTTTCCAGCAAGCTGCATTGTCTCAGACGACATTATTTGTTATTGCCTTCTCCTCCATCTTGTGTGCACCACAGTATTTTATGAAATTGCTACATTCTCCAATTACATTGGAAGTAAAGAGGGATGAAGAAAAACTCTTATTATGCTTGTATATTCCAGCATATTATACAAAAAATATCAGGTACAGCTTCAGCGAGAAAGTGAAAAGTCTACAACAGAAGAGGCGAGCAAGCGAGATATGTAATTGTGGACACTTGCTTGAAAAGCTTGTTACAAAAAGATGGAATGTGTTGTTTACTTTGAAGCATACTTTTTTCCTCAGCTAACTTGCAAGAGCTGCATCACAACACAAAATCACGCTATTATTCAAACAATATTTATCTTTTTTTACAGTTAATGATTTTGGTACAAGTAGACAGTTTGCTCAGGTAGATCACCACTAACTGCTATAATGAAACTCTGAAATGATCAGAACAGTATTTACTAATTTATAGGAATTTAGGAACTGAATACACTTTTCTCATTTTAAGCTGAATGATTCTAGATGCAGGAGAAAACTATAACAGTCCCAGTATTTTTAAAAAGAGTACAGAATTTTGTTATGTCTGTGTTACTTAGAAACAATAAATCGAATGTAAAGCTCACTAGTTGTTGAAGCACTTACCAGATATTCGAAAACAAGAGTCAAAGACTTGTCTGTGTGCACAATATCATGTAATGTAACAATATTTGCATGCTTCAGATCTTTTAATAATGACACTGCAAAACAGAATTGTAAGTATAAAATAAATAAATGCGAAACGCATGAGCAGTAAATGCATTTCGAGCAAGTTCATACATATAAGCTATTTTTTTTTTTAACTAAAAAGCTATTTTTAAGAACATAATACTCATATAGATTAAGTTAATACGGAAGGTGTTTAATCAAAACACCAAACAGACATTTGAGTAACAAACTGTAACTATTTCCTAAATTATATATTTCAGGCAGACGTAGTCATTTGGTAAAATGTATTCTGAATTCCTGAAAGTTACTCACTAATAATAGTCTAATACAGTATAAAATCATCCATTTATAACACTGCATTTGAGGCCACAACCACCCCCCCATAAAGCACGTAAATTTGAAACACTAACTCTGTATACATCTAGACTACAATTTTCCTCATCAAAACTAATACCGTTTTCATTAATCTCCCACGTAGCCTATGTATTTCCAAATACCAACAGTACTTTGGTCAAAAAGAAATTGAGAAGTAACTGAAATTCTAAGAAGTTACATAAAAAATTATCACCTTCTCTTATGGCTGTGCATGGTGCTCCCTCTTCATGTTCCAGGCGGATTTCTTTCAGAGCTACCAGGTTCTCTGTCAATTTACTTCTCCCCTTATAAACTGTTGCGTAAGTACCCTACAAAATGGAAAAAGAAGGAAACTCTTACAAATTTTTCATTCATTGAAAGATAAGTTAAAGAAGAAAATATAAACTTCTATCTGAGGTTCTAATACGTTTCATTTTGCATATGAATAGTTTTTACATTGTCTTCTTTTGATATATGTAAAACTACAAAATATTTCGTAAGCACAGGTCTGAACACACAGAAGACACAAGGGATGTGCATGCTTAACAACTCTGAAAATTACATGGAAAGCTGTACACCACATAGCTACTAAAGAAGTCGGATCAGGTAGTGTTAAGTTCACCAAGTTCACTGCTGGGATCATTTACCCTCTTGAAAAGCTCTATTTGATTAAAATTAGCTCAGGTATCTCTACGCTACACTGCAGTTATGTTTCCAAAGGCTGCAGACATAGTCTTCCATTACTTTTATGAAAACATGTAACTCCTTTTGATAGCTTCTTGTCTTCATTACATATTTTACGTAAGAATCTTTTTTTGCGAGAGAGGGGAGTTGCCAAAGTTTCATTTTGGTTGACATAACAAACAGTGAATATTATGAAGCTTATCCTTCTCAATTGTTTTTTTTTTTTTTTGCTTAGAGAATAAGAGATTCAAAACTCTCAAGGCACGTTACATAAGGACAAGAAATTCTGACAAAACAGCAAGTAGGTACAACTAATCCCAGCAATTGCAAAGAGGAAGCAACACAGTTACAGAAATTGCCCTAGGTTACAGTACATAGCTGGTGTCGTCCACTACACTTTGTAAGCAAGTGAGATAATGTACACCCACAACTATGACTCCATAGCTACTAGATTAACATTCCTCCAAAGATACGCAATGTTGTGTCATGTCTAGTGACCCATCTAACGAGTACTAGAGGCAAAACGAAAAATAAACGCGTTTTGAAATGAAAACATTGCAAACAGAGATCTAGCTGCAATATTCACAGCAGAGATGCTGACCAGCCCTGCCTCCTTCTGTAATGTGCAGTGAGTCCCATTCCAGTGCTCCTTGTCCATTTTTGATCCTGTTGGCCAACCTCAACCAAATTGGATAGGACTGACACCTGGCCCCTCCTGAATTCTACCATTTCTCTGGAAGTCAGAGGCTGAGTGGAGGCAGAAAGCCGTATTGCTGCCTTCCCACAAGGAAAGGCAAACTCAGTGTTATGCACTTCACTTGGCAGCACCCAGCTGTCTGCCCAGCTCAGGCGTGCAGGCTTCTGTACTGCCTGCTCCCTGCAAGCACTGGCTTCTTGTCCAGCACGAGTGCTCCCTAACACCTAACTCACAGCAGGAGGATGTCAGACTTAACTAGTTTTATTATCGACAGAATAACTTTGTCTATCTGCGCACAAAGCCAGTCTACGTAAGAAGGTCACAGATCCTTTGCTACTGGAGTCTTGCTCTTTCCCAGCGCAGTGATGGTCTTCCTGCCTTTTTTTTTTTTGCTTATTATATACGTACAGAACATTCGTGTGGTTGTGACATTGTTACACATGATGAATATGTTTCGTTTATTGAAAAGATAAATTCAATGGGTATTTTGAGGGATATGGATATTTTCAGTTAATATTTATGTAAATTTTTACATAAAACATTATCATCAAAGTAATAATAATTTCAAAAGAAAGCTATACATACCTCTCCAAGCTTTTCTAGCTTGATATAGGTTTCCATTTTTCCAAATCCAATTTCTGACTGCAATGAAAAGAAATAGAACATCGATCATTAAAACTCAACACTTCATTTATGCATCATTTAATCAGCAAGCTAAACTTTTTTCCAGAAAAATACCTGATAGTACTTGACCAAACACCGCACAGTTCCGCTATTTTAAAAACAATTTAGCATATTATGATATAAATGCGTCCCAATATCCAAGCCTAATGCTCAGTTTGTTGGCCAGTCTACTGTGTATCCTGGAAGGACTATGCACTGAGTTACACTTAGACTGAAACCCCTCTTTACCCTACCTCCTACTTAAGTCTTCTCCGCTCTTCTGATCTGATTATTAATAATAAGGTTGTTATAGCTCAAAGCACAGAAGTCATCTCAAACTATTCCACCCTTTCTCTTGCTTAGCATAACCATATGCTGCTGCTTCTTTCAAAATAACTTTCATTACTTATTTGCTCTCCGCTAATGTATATAACACATTCAAGATCTCAGCTCCAGTCTTCCTCTCCCATTCTGACCTCTCACTGCCTTTCAGTCTAAAACTCTTGTCAGTAAAATCCCTAAACATCATTCTTCCACAACCTTCAGCTTTGTCTCAACAATTTACGTGTCATGGCTCGTAACTTCAAGTCTTTGTGTATCTTATTTGCACCTATTCAACTTCTCTTTTTTTGTCACCAACTTCGCACTGCAACGCAAGACAGGAGGGTTTGCCTGCCTCTGTAACACCTTCTTCTGAAGACTGTAAGATCATTACTCTCTTCCTGTTCAAATCCACTGCTACTCTCATATTTAATACAGTTATTGCTTACAGTTATTTTCATGTAAGACCATTGTCAATTACACCAAAGCTTTATGTTGTAAACCAAAACCATTGTCAGTTACACCAAAGCTTTATGAGTGTAAAGAATGTTGTAAGTAGACATGTAAAACACGTCAATTTTTAAACCTATTTACAAAGTACATACAGCCTGTACCCTGTCAAAACCCCAAATCCATAGGCTTCATGGGGTTTTGCTTTACTGACAATTGAACGTACACTAAGACAAAAAAGCCAGGTCTTCTCCCTAGCATCACCGCCTCCTTTCAATTCCAAACATAGCTCTCCACCTGCTGTTTCTTTCTAAGGAATGATACTTTGACCCCGGACTGGCTTCAGCACCTACGTCGACAAGTCTGAATACGTTGATTTGCTCCTAACATCCGATGGATACTGAAGTTGTATATTATTTCACAGTAACACAGCGTAACATAAATACTGCTGACTGTATTAAGATTTGACAACAACATAATGCGAAGGTATACTAAGAAAAGTTGCATTAATACTTAATTTTCAGAACACATGCATGAAAATACATCTGAAGTAAGTGTAAGATCTTGTCTGTAAACATATCTGACATATCTAAGAGAAAAAATGGGCACATAATTATGTTAATATAATATTAAGAGTAATTCTGCTTTATTAAATTAGTTACAGAATTGAAATGTTTTAAAACTGCATAAGGATACTTTAGCATCAAGCATACTTAGGAGCTTGTTGAAGCCAAGCTGTTTATCCCAAAATACAAGCAAAGTTGATATTTGACAACTACAGAACTCCAGTGAGATTTTAAACATACCACTGATATAGGTACAATGTTAGTAAAATAAATATTATGTTTCCAAAGTGCATTTTGACCTACTTAAACAAACATATCTTGAAGTGAGTATTAGATGGTATTCGAATTAAAAAGACAGGCTGCTTAGTTTACAGGAGAAACTACAGGAGAGCTCATAGCCATTGGCCTGGTTATTGCCAGACAGTCTGGAATGCAACTTAGAAGTCTGATTTCTAACACACCTCAATGTTGTTCATCAAGACTAACAAACTTAAAATCTTCAGACAACAAAATCATAAAATAATTCCTATGTACAGGGGACAGACTTGCCTTTCAATGTGTTTTATTTTTTAATCACATTTTGGTTGCCTACCAGTCATAAGAAAAACTAATTTTTAGATTCCTCACACTACGATCAATTTCCTTTCTCCTTCAAAATAATTTCTGAACTATTTAATTTTTTTCTGCAATACACATCTGTCCATCTTGACTTACACAGAAATACTGATGCATTGTATTTATGGTCTCTTACTTCCAGTGGCTGGTGCATAAGAGTTACACCTATGTTACCGCGCATGCATGTACATGTATACACAAAATACAATTACCATAAAAGCTAATTTTTTTTGTTGTATTTCAAAGAAATACACCAGACCTAAAGTATAACAAGTCCTCACTTGATACTTTTTATAGCTTTTTTCCTTTGATTCCTACTAAGCCTTGAAAAGAGACATGCCTTTGAAGCAGAGCACAATATTCATATATTGTAATTAACAGTCTGCTAGCAAGCTTTCAATGTCAATCTCGGAATAATGAGTCCTTGAATTTCTTTTTTTTTTTAAAGGTTAGTTTGAAATCATGAAAGGACAATGCAGCAAATGCATGCCTGCATACCACAGCACTCCTGGCAGGTTTCATTTTGGACTTTTAAGCCCTGAAAGCATTTTTAAAAGGCAAAACAAGACAACCTTGGGACAGGAAGCTGATTCCATACACACACCATATTCATTAGAGGGCACTGTTTTTCTGTCTGTCTTCTAGAACATAAGGAGGAGAGAACTGCTCTCGGGGCTCACCATTAAGTGAGCAAGGGGATTTAGAAACACAGGAAACATCCCCCAGCCCCCAAATTCTATATTCCGACACTGAAAAGGTTCTATTGAAAAGGTGCTTTACCAACATCTGAAAAGAGACAGTTTAGGGAAGTGTATTCCTCAGTTCAGTGCTACATCAGTAACTAAGTGGTTAATGAGCTACAAAACTCTGGCACAAATATTTAAGGTTGCTACATTATTATTACTTCCAGTGCTTTGATCCAGTCTTTTCTTCTTTTAATATTGTTCTTGTAAAAGGCGACATGCAGATTAGAGCTTTAGCCCAGCACACTAAATTGTATTTTTTCAGGGGAAAAATACATGATACAACTCAACCATTGCTTTGTTACAGACATTATTAATTCACAGGGAATAAAATAGAGATATTTCACAGTTAATAAAACTAATTCACTACACGTACTTTCATATTTATTTTTCCGCAAATAAGCCATTAAATCAAGAAAACAAAGAACAATGCAGATTTCATAAACTTATCCAGTTTTTCTCTGCAAAGAATTTCTCGCCAAAGAATTTGCTTGGAAAGTCAGTAATGGTCTAGCAATTCTTTAAGACCTCGATTAACATTAAGAAAACTGATAGATCAAATTATGATTGAAATGGAACAATTTTTCTAAAAATAAGCTAAAATTTTTGAGGGACTATTTCATGGATGTGAGTATTTTATATGAGTGTCCAGGTTTTCTAGCATTTATACTCTAATTACAGTACAGGAATCCTCATTCTGCGATCTGCAAGGAAAGACATGTTTTAAAATAACCCAATAATCTAAAAAGGTATATGTGTATTTATTCATTCATATTCCTAGGAATCCACCTATGCTTTTTAAAAAAAAAAAAAAAAAAATCTATCATTTCAACAGCAATTTTGAGAAAGAAAATTTGTTATCAAACACAAAAAGAACAGTGAGGAGGACCTGCCTTCATATTATGCTGCTTTAGGGCCTTCCTACTCTATCACATGAGAGCCCCAGGCTTGACCTAAGACTACGTGGCCTATTTGTTCAAACAGATCATCCCTGCTCTAAAAAGCAAAACTATTTAAGTATGTACTTTGGGAGCTGAGTTTAGCTACTGATTACAATGGGTCAACACCCTCACTGAGAAATGACAGGACCAAGTTTGCAGAAGAAAAATGAAAGAAAGGGTGCAATTCTTCAATGGACTTTGACAGGTGCACACTGAAGTTCAGGACATAAAAGCCAAAGTGTAAATGAAGCTGAATCACACCTATGGTATGCAGACATCTGCATTAAATGGAATCTGAAGAACCGAGAGGTTGGTTTAGCATGGCAGATGCATTACACTTACTAGCGATGCTCTACGAGAACGTCGACTCATTGGCTGATCAAAGGGCGGGCTGTTAATCTGCAGCTTTTCGAGATAGCCATCAGGTATCCTGATGTCAGCAGGCAGGGACAAACGCTTGTTCAAATCCTGCAGTAAATAATGTTAAAAAGAGAAGGGTCAGGTATAATTCAGAATTTCCTTCCTGAAAAATCTTTTAACACCTGTAGTGTTACTGTTACGACAGTGTTGCTATTCAAAACTGAAATATTTATACAAATGAAATAAGTAATTTCACAGAAATGGTTTTTAAGAACAATTTCCCAGAAATTGGTTTTAAAAACATTCTCTTCTAATAATACTTCAAATTGCTTAGACAACAGGTTCAAAAATTCAGTGCTTTACAAACTCATTACTTTAACAAGAGGAATAAAATATGAAAATGTAATTAATTACATTGTGGATAAATGTACTGAATTTACTTGAATACTTATGCATACCTGGAATACCAGAAACTGAGAATTCAGAAGCTGGTAAATACATTTCTTTTCATATAATAATTACATTAGAATAACAAGGGATCTCCATGATTCAAAATATATCACTCTCCCTTTCTCTGACTACTAAAAGCATAAACTTGCTTTGGCTTCCATTTTTCTAGTCTTACAAAACAGAATCACTTTGTTATTGAGCCAAACTATTGCAAATGTTAATACATTTTTCTATTCCACGCTCTTTAGTATACGATCTTTAGAAAACCAAACAGCCATTATATAAATGCAGTTTTCCCTAAGTTGTCCCTACATCAGATTCTGTTCTTCACCCGTAAATTTTTCCAACACAACAAGTATAATTTTTAAGACAAGTGGGAAACAAAATTACTTCACCTTTCAATAAACATGGAAAAAAAGGGTTTTTTGGGGCAGCTGCACATTCTCATCAATTTTTTGTTTTTAGTTTGGCTTTAATTTCAAACATGACAGAAAATGAAACACCAAATATTCTCTTAAAGCAGCCAGTCACCACCACAGAGATACAAGGGCAACATATCCAAACTCACAAAAATGGGCAGTAATTTCC